TTTTTTTTTTTTTTTTTTAATGTTTATTACTTTTGAGAGAGAGACAGAGCGTGAGCCAGAGAGGGGCAGAGAGAGAGGGAGACACAGAATCTGAAGCAGACTCTAGGCTCTGAGCTCTCAGCACAGAGCCAGATGCGGGACACGAACTCACCAACTGTGAGATTATGACCTGAGCTTAACCCACTAAGCCACCCAGGTGCCCCTTAAAGCTCTTTTTATGTTAAAATATACATTTATACATATCAAAAGACATGAATGACTTCTAAAAAAATTTTTTTAATATTTATTTTTGAGAGAGAGACAGAGAGGAAGCCGGCGAGGGCAGGGAGAGAGGGAGACACAGAATCCGAAGCAGGCTCCAGTCTCTGAGCTGACAGCACAGAGCCTGATGTTGGGCTCAAACCCACAAACTGCGAGATCATGACCTGAACCAAAGTTGGACATTTAACTGACTGAGCCACCCAGGAGCCCCAACAGGAATGACTTTTTATTTTTATTTTTTTATGTTTTTATTTTATTTTGAGAGAGTGTGATCAGGGAAGGGGCAGAGAGAGAGGGAGATACAGAATCCAAAGCAGGCTTCAGGCTCCAAGCTGTCGGCACAGAGCCCGACGCGGGGCTCGAACTCATAGACTATGAGATTGTGACCTAAGCCGAAGCCGGACGCCCAACCGACTGAGCCACCCCAGGTGCCCCAGGAATGACTTTTTAACTGAATTCTTAGATTGTGAAACATTTAATACAAAATTTACATTTTCTGAGAAGGATAAGCAAACATCTTTACAACGTGGATGCATTTTGCCATGTGAAGAAAAGTCTACACACAAGACCTATTGTAGGATTCCAGTTATCTCACCTCCTGGGGTGGGGGTGGGATTGATGGCCAGAGGACACAGGGGGCCCTTGGGAGTGCTGGAAACGTTCTTTATTGTGATGGTGGTGGCAGTTAAGCAGTTAAAGCATTTGTCAGGACTTGTCCACTCACATTGGGTGATTTTACTATGTCCACCTCAATAAAGTGGATTTAAAAATACACACAGCTCTCTGTACCCACATTGAGAAACCAAGCGTTCAGTGACTTAGAATTCCCTGTGCGTCCTCTCCTTCCCTGCACATACTCCCCATCCTGACCTTTGTGAAAATTCTTCCTTTGCTTTAAAGAGTAGTTTTCCCGCTTATATTCAGGTCTCCACATAGCAGTTTGGGTTTGTGTGGTTTCAGAATTTATAGAATTGGATTCCTTGTCTGTTGAGTTTCTACTTTGGTGGTGTTCCTTTTGCCCATTTTTCTGTCAGGTCGTCTTTTGCTTCCTCGATCTGCAAACACGTATGTTATGTAGTCCGTTCTTTTGCAGCTGCAAGTAAGTGTCGTGAATATGCTCTCCTGGTCCTCAATGTGCTTTGTACTTGCATTGCGTCCTGTCTTCACTTCCTTCCGTTCTTGATTTTAACCTTCATTTGTCAACCTTTTCATTTATGATTTTTGTTTCTTATTTAAGAAATCTTTTTCAGGGCACCTGGGTGGCTCTGTCGGTTGAGCGTCCGACTTTGGCTCAGGTCATGATCTCATAGTTTGTGGGTTTGAGCCCCGCATCAGGCTCTGTGCTGACCGTCTGCTCAGAGCCTGGAGCCTGTTTCACATTCTGTGTCTCCTTCTCTCTCTGCCCTTCCCCCGCTCACGCTTTGTCTCACTCTGTTTCTCAAAAATAAATAAATGTAAAAAAAAAATTTTTTTTTAAAGAAATCTTTTTCTATCCTAAGGATTCGAAGCTCATCTTCTTTATTCCAACAGCTCTTAGTCTGGCCTTTCACCTTTAGGTAGATCTTTAGTCTGTGTTTAATTGCGTTTTTGTGTGCGGTGTGAGTCTGGGATCCAGTCATTTCCCCCTCACACAGCGCAACATCGTAGCCCTTCCCCTGCTGCCAACACGAAGTGTTGGCCTCTAGTGGTGCAAATCTAGTATGCCTTTTGCTTTTGCAAGAGCTTCGTGGCTGTTCTTAGCCCTTTGCACCTCATAATCAATTTTGGGATCAACTTTGCAAGTTCCGTAAACAAAAAGCTTAGTTCTTATTTCAGCTGCCTTTACTTTCTAGTTCACTCTGGAGGTAACTAACACATTACTGAGCCTTCCAGCCTTTGAACATAAAGTCGCTTTTCAAGTATTCTGGGACCCTTTAATGTCTTCCAATTAAATTTTATCATTTTCTCCTTTGGCTGACGTAGATCAAGCTCATAGAAATTTGTCTTTCGTCTTGTATCCAACAGCCTTGTTAAATTTCCCTATTAATTAGAATTCCTCTGCAGATGCTTTCTTTTTTTTTTTTTTAATTGTATATAATAACTTCACAAATGACAGTTTTCTTTTTTTTTTTTTCCCTTTCGGGGCTGATCACTATTAAAATGTCCTGTGTCCTTTTGCAGTCAGTCCCTTCCACCCACCCCCAGGTATCCAAGGATCTTTTTGTCACTGTAGTTTTCTCTTCTCTAGCATGTCATAAATGGAATCCTACAATATGCTGTCTTTTGTGTTGCGTTTCTTTTACTCAGTAAGGTGCATCCAGGTTACATGGGTGTTTGCTTTTTTCCTAAGTGCTTGTAGAATCTCCTTTTAATGTATCTTGCTTGAAAGGTTTAGATCCCCCAATCTGTGAAGGCCTAGTCACATGTGGCAGATGGCTGCCTCTGCGGTCTCCCACTCCTTGGGGGCCTCCCATCAGACAGGCATTACTGCCTTGCTCTTACTGCACGTTGTGAACTTGTCTCTCGTACCTTGTCTCTTTGTTTCTAGTGCTACCTTCTGGATAGTTCTTCGGATTCCTGTACGAGATCACTAATGCTCTCTTCAGTGCTTATGATCATCTTAAAATGGAATTTTCATACAGAAATTACAAATTCAAACCAAGGTCAAAAGAGCAGAAGCCACCATTTAATCAGCTTCAGTAGTTTATTAACACTCCGAATCTTCAGGTACCCCCTGCTTCCCACAGATCCCATGGCGCGATTACTTTGATGCAAATCTGAGACCTATCATTTTATCCGGAAATATGCTGATTTCTATAGCATAGAGCACTTTTTTAAAAAGTTAATAATTTCTTCGTACCACTAACTAAATGATCACGTTCTCCCAATGATCTCATAAATGTTATAAATTCCAAACAAGATTCTCACATTGGATATAGTGGATTTGTCTTGTAACTGTATTTTTTTTGTTAAGTTTTTAATCACATTTAGTAGTGTACATGCAGGCAATCCAGACAACAGAAATTCTGTAAACTCTCTTAATGTATAGATTTCTCATTTCCCTCTATTTCCGAAACAAGTTACTTGTTGTGGAGAATCCACATTCTGGATTTCCTTTCTTGTATATTCACCATGTCACGTAACATGTTCCTGCGTACCGCTGGCTGTGTGTCCTAGAAGATGGTAATTGTGTCTAGAAACTTGACAGACTCAGGGTTGATTTTTTTTTTTGACAGTAATGCGTGGTGGGAATGGTACGTGATTCCTATTGGATCACCTCAGGAGACACCGATCTGCTGGGCTCTGTGACGTTGGCAGCTGGTAACTGATATGTACATATTTTATTAGCGATTGCAAGATGTTGATATTCTGGCATTCCTTCTACAGTTATTAGCCAAAAATTAAAAAAAAAACAACAAAACTTTTCTTCCAAGTACTTGGTTATCTGAGGTATAAGCTTCTCACAGTTTAAGCAGAACAGATGCATGAATGCTTGAATCTTTCCCTCTCCTTAGCTGTGTGCCGAGTGCTGAATCGGTATTCTAGCATTCTCCAGAGGTGGACCTTCATTCTTTGAAACTATCTCAGCCCATTGCAGCAGAGTTGCTGATGTTCCCACGGTCCCCTTTTGGCCAGCGGAGTCCCTTCAAACCAGGCTTCTCACCCTGCCACGGCCCCGGGTGTCGGACAGGTGTCTCCTTTCTGGCACCACAAAACGGTTCTCAGGTTTCTTGCCCGGTCCTGCCATCTGGAAGCGGCAACCATCTCCCCATGGAGTACTGTGTTGTTTTTGAGTAGGAAATGGTATTAGAGACTGTCACCTGGGCACCGGGTGCCCCATTCCTGCCAGGCGGGGTCACGGTTTCTAGGCCTTTTCGGTGCTAAGAGGTAGGAAATGCTGTTGTTACCCCAAAGAGGAAATGTATCCTTACTTCACATTGACACTTTCAACTTAAAGATCGGGATTTTTACCGCAACTGTATCTTTTTTTCTCTCATGCTAAAAATCTTGGTTTCCTTGAGCCCCGGTTTTTAGTAGGTCCACAGAGCCGTGTGCGCACCGATGTATGTGTGCAGAGGGCCCACTGACTGACCACTTCCGGAATGCTCATAGTGGGAGGATTGCTGCAGGCGGTTTGGGTTTTTTTACACTTGGTTTTGTTCTTATGTAACATCCCCCCCAGGGATGGACAGCCAACTTCTGTTGTTGGAAGCTCACCTGAAATAATCCTTCCGTTTGGCTAATACACCGCTAGGTTCATTTCTTTCACCCTCGATGTTAGGAATTGCTTTCCTTCTTTTAATTTTTATGATTATGTAAAACAATGACGTGGTTCCAAAGACAACTCTACAGAGCAAGAGACACTCAGAGACATCTCCTTTCCATCCTTCTTCCCTGAGGTCACCGTTAGTTTTTAACTTGGCTTTTCCATAATTCTCACCTATTTACATATAAAAGCAAATACGGATACAATTTTGCATTCCTCCTCCTTTTCGTAAGTCTTCATGCTGCCGTGGGTGTTGTTGTAACTTGTAACTTGACCGTGTGTCCTGAGACCACCCCACAGCAGCACAGGCCACCCTCACTCTCCTGCTGCTAAGGACTCGGTACTCCCTGGACGTGCTGTGGTGTATGAATTGAACAGCTCTCCAGGGGTGGACACTGGGGTTTCCAGCCTCTGCTATTGTAAGCAGTGATAGCCTTTTGTATCTGTCCTTCTCCGTTTTTGCCAGTTGGTGTTTTTTCTTTCAAGTGTATTTATTTTGAGAGAGCGCGCACACCCCTGCACGAGCCGGGGAGGGGCAGAGGAGGAGAGACTGATTCCCAAGCAGGCTCCCGCTATCTTTGCAGAACCCGACTTGGGGCTCGATCCCACGAACTGTGAGATCATGACCTGAGCCGAAGTGGAGTCGGACGCTGAAGCAACTGAGCCCGCCCGGGAGCCCGGCCAGAGTGTCTGTTAGGTCCCTCCAAGCGGGGCTGCGGGGCGAAGGGTACAAGCACGTGCGTGGTCTGCCGTCTCGATCCGGCTGACGGCTGTTGTGGCTTTACTAGAATCCGGGGAAGGAGTCGCTCCGATTGGATGCTCTCCACTTTCTCTTCCCCTTTTTTAAAGGGTAGAGAACAGCCCAAGTCTCTGAAAACTGACCTCGGTCACCTGGCAAAGTTGCTCGATTTCTCTTTGGAGCTCTTTGTGGGCAATATAATCCTGAAACTTGACGAATGTTTATCTTTCTGAAATTTCAGCAAATCCCTTTATGAACACTCCAAGAACTTCACCGTGTCGCTTGTGCTAGGCAAGGATATCATCCCCAGGTGAGTGTGCCGGCGCTTCCTCGGGGCTCGGGGCAGCTGAAAGACCGGATTTTGAGCTTCAATCTGGTCTTCTGCTAAACAGGTTAAGTGTGACCAACTTGGAAGATTTGAAGAAGAGAATCTTGCGAGTGATCGCGCACTGTAACAAGCCCAAGGTAACCTGGGGGTGCCCGGAAGAGGGTCTGCAGGAGTCGGAGGCTGTGTGTGCCCCGAGAGGAAGTTTCTCAATTCAGAGGCTCTTAGCCCAGCGCATTCGATGCTGTTGCCTGAGGCTCTCTCTCCCCGGGGTACAGCTTCCATCTGGGGCTCGGGGCCGATGCCAAGGAAAGCACACAGCTCAGTCCTGAAATGCCACGGTTAGAGACTGTGGTAGAACCTTCCCTGTTCCACTTCAGTGATGCGCTTTCTTTGCCCTGTCTTGTGACCAACAGTATTCTGATGCTTTTGGTCCCAAAGCTTAGAAAATAAGGCTGCCAAATAGAGTTTAAGAATTATTAGTATACCATGGAATGTTATAGTCATTAGAAATGGTGACATAAATTTACATTTATCAATAGAG